AAGATCATTTAATTCCCTTCATTTTTGCTTCAGATTATTTTGACGTATCTCTCACCTGTGTTAAACTATAATGGAAAATGTAAAAACGCTCTTTCCAGTTCGATTTGGAACCGATGATTTGGAACCATCATTTAGTATTGAGTAAAAACGAGCAATTTGACAGTCAAAGATAAACATTTTTTCGGAAAAAGAAATTACTGACTATTTATATTATTAGAATTGAAATCAATAAAACTCAACTAATCTGAGTCTGATGACTCATGATATTTTACTGATTTAATTGCTTGGATCAGATCTGGTCAGCCAATCACCAGTACTACAACCTATAAGTTATTCACTGTACTGTCCGATTTGGACACGGATCCTTTCGAACTTTGGAACAAATTTTACAATAAACCGCAAAAGTGATCACGAAATGCTTGATATTTTTGAATTCTACACTCTTTAATTATCTTAAATCAATTACTTTCAAATTTTTAACACCTTTTAAGTAATGATTTACAAGGATTTTCTTTTTTAAAAAAATTTTCGCAAAATGACTGAAAATACATATTTGCCTCTATTTTATGAATGTTATGACAGAGAACTGTCAAACTGCTATCGCATGTTCGATGTCTTATAAGGATTTTACATTATAAATAGTACCCAAATCTGCTTAACCGTATTCATTTAAATTAAAAAGGTCCTATTTGGAACACAATCCGATTTAGACCACTCTCCCCTATAATTTTTTCATACAATATGATTCCTTTATTCTGTATATAAAGGTATTAAGATAGTGATACCAGAAAACTAATAGTTTACGATATTTTATATTTTATTTTGGTATATATTGACATAAAAAATTAAATAACTCGTAAACTATTAACTTTTTTATAATCGTACCTTAATATCTTTATGAATAATGATATGAATCAATTGGTAGAAAGAAAACATATAACTGCTTATTTTAAAAAATTATCCATTTTGCTCACATATTTTTTTAAAGCAATTATGTGTTTTCTTTACACCAATTGATTCATCTGATTATTCTGATCATAAAAATATTAATGTACGATTATCACAAAATTAATAATTTACGAATTATTTAATGTTTTATATCAATATGTGCCGGAATAAAGTATAAAATATCTCGTAAACTATTGGTTTTTTTATATCACTATCTTTAATACATTTACATGCAGAATAATTAAAGGAATCATATTGTGTAAAAAAAATTATACAATTCCATTTAAAAAAGTAGAGGTGACCGTCATATCTTTTTGACCCCTCCACCTAGTAGAAAGACAACATGACCAAAATGTGGCCTCCTCTAAACCATGTAACTTTTGTCTGAAATATTTTTTTATATCTTCCATATTTTTCAAGATATTTGTCTGGGGAAATTAAAATAGAACACCCTGTATATATGTATATATACAGGGTGTCCCATTTTAAACAATGCATTAAGATTTCTCGAAAACTATGGTAAATACGGAAAAATGTTTCGGACAAAAATTGTATGGTTCGGAGGGGGACATAAGAAGGTATCATTGATTTGAACTTGGTTGGCGTCGTTAAGGCCAGGTCAAGGTCAGGTCCCCCACGTGGGGCACGACCTTGCCGTGGCGTGGGGGCTCCCCCGGGTGCTGCTCCTGCGGTCGGGGCCACCGTCAGCGCTTGCGGGGGCAGCCGATCAGGGACTTGTGCTCGGGGGTCCAACAGTGCCCCGTGCGGATCCCTCCGCTAAATAGGAAGGATCTGCACAACCGGGTCCGGTACCCCAAGGGACTCTCGTCCTCTTCGGAGGGTGGGAGTCCTGGGGGGACCGTCCTTTTTAGGGACCCCATTACACCGGTAGGAGAAGGTAACTCCGACTTCAAATCCCGGCGACTTGGCGCCGAAAGGGGGAGGTTTACTCCCTTCCCATGCCGGGTGTGGAGGTTCGTCCTCCACAGCCGCCGGCTTCCGTGGGGCCCTCCCCCTCCCTCTTCGGGGGGATGGGGTGGTTCCCTCGGCATCCGGTGGCCGAAGTGAGCGACGCGGATGCTCCCGCAGGCGTGGCTGCCCACTGTCCGGATGCTTCTGGCTTTGGGCGGCCACACACCATGGGATGGGGGGTCCTCAGAGAGAAATCCCATTGCACGGGGAGGGTGCCGGCCAGGCCTTAGGGCCATTGCACGGAGCGGCGTCCCTAGCGAGATGCGGGCGACTGCCCTTAGGGGCAGGTCCCTGTAGGGAAGGCTGACGGGGCAACCCGTCTTCCTTCTGGAGGGGGGCCGCACGGCCGCTCGGACGTAATCCAAGGCGGAGCGTGCGGCCTCCATCCCGCCACGGCCACTCGGACTTATTCCGATGCGGGGCGTGGCGGGGCGAGGACGAGGGAAGGAAAACCCTCAAAACCCGGAAGGAAAATCGTACACCCGGCTGGGGCGGCTTGTAAAACAGCCCCAATTTTTCTTTATGAAGGATGGAGAAGAAAACCAAGATGACTACGTCAGCA